TTGTAAGCACTGGTGATGCTGGAACCAGAGTGTCTTAATGATTTCTGAGTTCATATACCTCTCTGTTAGTGTCTTGTTAATGTTTGAATTTAGTAGATTATAGCCAGTATTAATTCCCGCCCCCCCGGGGAAAATAAAATTTGTTTCACTGTGATTTGGATGTTCTGATCTGTATTTGGCCTTGTGTTACTAGTGGGCCTAAGAGCCTTCCACTGTGATAGGTGAAGCCTCCTTCTTTCAGGTGATGCTGATTTTTTTGTGAGAAATTAAATCTCATTTATAATTCATATGGCAACATCCTAAGCTAGTTTTGGCAGTGCAGATTTTAATTAGGTGGGAGAAGACTTTGGTTCGCTGTTCTCCATTATTACTACTTGATGTGTCTTAGGAAAAAGATGTTTGTTTCTTGTCCACATACATTAGTGCCAGAGGTTTCAACTGTTTCAAGCTTTAAGTTACCTATTTGGTGGGTGGAGGGGCATTGTTCGTTGGCTGTGGGTTTGGTGGTGTCCCTGCTTTCCCCCAAGTTGGGTATGAATCACTTGCAGTAAATGTAAAGTTACTGGGAACAGGCAACATTTTTTTTTGCTGTGTTTTGTGAATTCTTTAGGAAATAGTTTGTGCCCTTTCCCTTTCTGTTTATCGCACTGATGTTCAAAAGTGTTGTTTTGGTTTGTTCATTACCAGAAGACTTGCCTCAGGCTGTTTTTATTTTTGACATCTTTAAATCAGCATCACTAGCAAAGGAAACTGTCAGAGATGTCTGATGGGACAGTACTGAGATTCTCTTGAAGAGTTTTATGTACTCGGTAAAGTTTCCCAAGCAGTATACAAAGACATTACTTTTATGTAAAAAGGAGTAACATCAAATAGCCTATGTGCATGTAATTTAATAGATTTGTCTGTAGATAAGGATTGATTTAGTTTCATTCTAAGTTACATTCTAAAAGATGGAGCTAAAGCCAGTTTGTTTGCCTCAGAAACTTAGGAGGAGGCGAAACCATTAAACAGTGCTTAGCAGAACAGTTTGTAAAGACAGTGAATGACCTTTAAATGCCTGTAGTGCTTTTTTCATGTTTACCTTATACCAGTGAGTGAAAACTTTGAAAAGGTGCAGGAAACCAAGTGGGGAGCGAAAAAGCAAGGACGTAGCAACGGTGTCCCACTCTTTCAGGTCACCATAGAGATGGAGAGGCCATAGAGCGAACCTCTTCTGTTCACTGTCTCTGAATAGAGCGTATTAAAATACATCATTTAGTCTTCGGTATTAAAGAATTTGAATACATGTGGTCTTCTAGCCAGTATATCTTAAGGTTAGCTTTATAAACATTTTAAGATGCTCATTTTGTTCCTTTCATATCCAGTTCCTGTTTCTTTCCAAAGAATAACAAAATGAAGATCAAGTTGAAATAAATATAAAAATATAGCTTTGGCCAGTTTTCACATGATGTTTGAAAAAGGGCTTTTGCCTGTACAGTTTCACAAAGAAAGTGATGCAATTGCTTAAGTATTTGTGTAGTACATATTTCTCATGAGTAAAGAAAGCTTTTGCACTGAATTTGGTAATAAATCTGTGTACTTGAAAGCCAGCATTTTTTGTAAAGGTGCCAACCTAAGAAAAGCAATGTTTCTTCAGGAAACAGTGAAAGTACAAATGCAATACAGAATTAAAAGCTTTCAAATATAGTTCACAAACAAAATTTAGCAGTTTCAGATGGCAGTGATTTTAAATCAGTCTGTTCTGGATGATAAATTGAATTAACCAGATGTTGAAGTTCTTTAAGGTTTTACACAGCTGTTGCCGTCTTGTCATACTGTTGTGCATCAAAATAGAAATCAACTCTTAAGTCTTGACCTCTTGCTTTGCATTTCCCCACCTGATTTCTCTCCCCAAAATAGCAATGATAAGGTGAGATAATCTCTTGAAAGTTGAAGACTCTAGGCCATATTATGTTGCAGACTGATGAAGAACCAGCTATGTATGCTAACAGCTAAAACCCGACAGGGTTTTTCACTCTGGCCCTGAAGCCAGCTGGCACTGGGTGAGTATCTGACCTTCCAAACCAGAATGGGCATGTCTTAACTGCCTTCTGAGTCCCAGATCTGTGCTGACGCCTGTAACGTGTTTGGGAGCAGACCGGAGGAGTACTAGGTGTCCTGGGCCAGTGCTGCTCTCTGATGGGGAGATAGTGGAGTCCTTTGGCACCACTTCCCTTTGGAGTGTGGATATGGCCTCGACATACTAGGGCATGATAACTTGCTGAGAGGGAAGCCAGAAGGGGAATGAATATTGCTGCTACTGCTGCCTAAAGTCTTTGCCTGTCTTCTGTGTCTCTTGGTCACCTTTTCAGATGCCACTTAATATAGCTGCAGAATAACTTATCTCCCCACCACCAAAAAGATGAATTATTTTCTTTGAATACTTTATGAAATGGTAAAGTAGTTGCTATCGTGGGGACAGGTTGTCCACAAATCTGGAGGCATTTGTTACCTTAGACATTCTTACCCTCCAAACTGGTGCTTAAGTTTGTCCATAGTGAGGATCAAGGCCTTCAAATAAAGAAGAAAAGGCTTGAATACTAAATGTCCTTTTCAGTGCAGAATCCATGAGAAACAAATAACTGATAATTGTTTTATCAGGTACAAAGGTTTATTATAAGATAATTGTGTTAGCTGGAACATGTAAAACAAATCCAGAATATCCAAGATTTTAGGGCAGAGATACATAGTCCAGTAAAATTAAATCTCATCTGATCCTATCAAGTAAAAACTATATGTGGGAGGTTCCACTTCAGTTGAATTCATAAAGGTGCCCTTAATACTGTTAAACTTCCATAAAAGAAATTGATATTTAACTGGTTGGTTTTTTTTTTTTAATTATATGCAAACCTGCCCTTTATATTATTGGTGAAACAATTGAATCTTCTAAATCTTTTGCTGAGTTTATTTTAGTGAATCTCACAAAGTTTTTCCAAGGTATTATGTATTTAGGTAAAAAAGTGCTACCAGAATTACTGAAATGCATTTTTATTATTGTTAGTGTGATTTAACAGAGGGGAACAAAGGGAGAGGCTGTGCAGGGCTTTGAGACTAGTGGTTATCTTGAACCACAGTTGTTACAAGTTTGGTTTAAGATGTTAACAAGTTTATTTTGACAATTGAAAGAACTTGGATTCTGGATGGAAAGATGAACTGAGGAGAGGAAGAAACTGTTACTTACCTTTTTCTTCGTTAGGGTGGAAGTAATATGTGAGGTTACTTCTTCATGCTCAGTGTATGAAATATGTACATAGGGGTACTTGGAAAGCTATGTATGGCATGGCCTGCTTAAATGTTGCATTAAGTGCGTTATTAGCCAGTCTTGCACTCAGTTGGTATAAGAAAATTAATTTTGTAGGTACACATAAAAATGTAAAAAAGAAAAAAGGACACTGTCTTCACCTGCTAAAGGTTTGAATATCATAAAGATAGCTGAAAAAAAGCCCCAAACAAAAACCCTACCACAAAAAACAACCACCATGCTTAATGTGGCATGTGGCAGGAAAATGTAGTAAAAATAGTAAAGTAGGTTTTGCCCGGTGCTCCGGCTGTTGTTGATCTGGCCTTGTTTAAAGCCCTCTCTTCCCTCCCGAAAAGGCATTTGCAACTGATTTTTTCTGACTGGCTTGAGTATAAGTGGTCTCAGAACAAAGGTATTCTCCAGTTTTTCAGATTAAAAATAAAATTTGACAGAAATGTGCAAGATACAAGCTTGCATTCATCTCTGCATGACCCAACCCGCCACGATGTTCTGTACAGCTTTTTTTTTGTTGTGTGTTTTTGCAGTGTGATGCTCTCTTCCTATTCAGTCATGCAGTTATTTGTATGAACGTGTAAGCACTAAGCACAAGATCCCTTTGCAAGCAGGATCCACTCTAATTGCTCTTCTGTGTGCTGAAAGCCAGCTCTGTCTGTGGGGCTGCTTGCGTCCTGCTCTGTAAGAGCGG